AAAGACAGTTTCTTGCAGCCAGGGGCTGGCAGCAGCTCTTGTGCATCATGGAAAGTTACCTGCGAGCTCTGAAACCTTCGTGTCGGGCGGTGGCTTTTTTTCTTTTGTGGTCTCGTCACACAGCCCGTGCTTGTGCTGAGGAAGGAGGAACCGAGATGACATCTCGGGGCGGGTGACGCAGCGGGTGCTGCACCGCAGAGAGGCGTGGGGGACGGGGCTGCCCCTCCCCGAGCCCCGCAGGGCTGTTCGGATGGGGAGCCTTGCTCCAATTTTTTTGCTTTGCTTCGCTTCACCTATGGAGGTGTGAGCGGAGGGGCTGAGCCCTGGGCTGAGCGAAAGCAGCCTCTTCCTCTGTCGTCCTCTTCCTCCCTGCTCGGATGTGGCTCCCCACCTCACCCGTGTTTCGGTAAAGCCTCGGAGGGAACGGCCCTCACGGATGAAAGCACTTTGGGTGCGTCCCAAGGGGCAGCGCGTTAAAGAAAGCAGGAAGCGTCCTGCACGCGACTGGGGCTGGATCTGACTTCGTACCTTACAGATGTGGACAAGAAAATGAAAACCTTTTTCCTGTGTGGGCTTTGCCATCACAGTGATTCACTGACCGGCAGCGCCGGGGGTGAAAAACCACCGGGGGCGGGGAGCAGGCACCCACACAGGCTCCCTTGCCTTTCTCTGGTATCGATAACCAAATAGCCCTGAAAAAGAATTACATGTTCCTGCTCCTTCTCTTCCAGGGCGGTCCGGTCGAAATCCTGCCTTTTCTCTACCTTGGTAGTGCCTATCACGCTTCCAAGTGTGAGTTTCTCGCCAACCTGCGCATCACGGCCCTGCTCAACGTCTCCAGGAAAAGCTCGGAGTCCTTCAAAGACCAGTATTGCTACAAGTGGATCCCGGTGGAGGACAGTCACACAGCGGACATCAGCTCACACTTCCAGGAAGCCATCGACTTCATCGGTAGGTCCAAATCAACAAATTTCTAGTTCTTCATATATTTAAAATTCATTTATTTTAAAATACATATTGGTGGGAAGGACACATTATTTTCCATATGTTCCCAGATGTCACAGCAAAAGTTTAGGCTCCCTCCCTTCTCCAACGTTGGTCCTGGCAGAGGGATTTCTGCAAGGAAGGAAGGAGTAGGGACATTCGGAGCAAGGCCTCTGTCCTCCTTTTTGGCTCTCCCGGCCAGGAGGCCAAGGAAGGAAAACGCCTCCTCCTGACTGCTGTCAGACAGATGAGGCGAGTGAGCTGGTTAGCTTTATTTTCTTTTCGAAGCAAGCATAGGTGTTAACTTCAGCACAACAGGAAGCACAGAAGTATGCCTGAACACCACCAAAGTCTTGATTTTTTTGTAAAGGAAAACCCCATATCGGTTCCTTGGAGTTGCACACCAGCCCCTGTAAAAGCTAGGTGAAGCAGGGCCAGCTTATTGCCTTGCTGTGCTGGGATATCTCAAAGCCAGGTCTTAGAAATCCACCATCTCCCCTTATCACAGAACTGTTCCCATTTCTCCTTTTGATCATGTTGGTATTTCACCCTTTAAATACCCCAATGCAAAAAGAATGAGGAAGCCTTCAGAAAACTTGGGGCCATCCCCTCTCAAACCTTTCGGCGTTAGGCTGGGTAGGTGAGCAGCGCACTGGCTGTGCCAGGTAGTGCAAAGGAGAGGCTCAGGGTGGTTTAGTGGGGTGGAGCGGCCTCAGCCTGGGTGGAGGTGGTGTTGAAATCGGTGCTGTTGCTCTCCAGGAACTTTTGAGAGAGAAACAGAATACAACCTCAGTTACAGACTGCTGGACTCATTGCTCAGCTGAGTTTGAATCCTTCAACAGTGCAGGCAGAATTACAAAAACCTCATCTGAGGGTGACCTCTGAGCCCTTCCCCTTCCTGGCAAGGGACTTCTCACACTTTTCAGGGAAACGATAATTCACAGCACACTTCTGTCCTGTCCCCAACCCCTTCTGATAGTTGTTGAGTCACTTGGAAATTTCCCAGATTTTGAGGATGACTTTAGATTTCACTTTCTTTTAAAATTGTGTGTGTGGTGTAGATGTTGGGGATGACTCAAATCCATGCCTGCCTTATTTTGTGCAGTAGTTAAATATAACCGGTTGTGGTGGCACCAGTCCCCTGGCAGACAATCGAAGGCAGGCAAATGATAACTTGCTCAGCTCCTTGTTGTTTCGGTGCCATGCACTGAGCACTATACTCAGCACACAGTTTTCCATAAATTGGAGCTTTAACATATTGCTCGAGGCAATAGAGCAGAGAACGTCTATTTTTGAACTGTATTTTTGTGTGGAAAGGATTTATTTTAAGCACATTCTCTTTAATCTAATAACAATCATTTTGTTGTGTGAGTAACCACAGTGGCTCCTGTTGTGTAAAATGGGTGCTTTGCATAAGCCTTTTATATCCTGACTTAAGTCCAAGCATCCTTTAACCAGACTGTAATTAGCAACTGCCTACCAGTCCTTGTGTGCTTTGTGGTGAGGCCCCAGGGAGTGAGCCCAGCCTCTCCACCCCAGGGTACCCACCAAGGGCGCAGCTCCTGGGACTGCCCTTTGCTGCTAACCGGCCAAGCAGGGAGTTAGGTTTGGACTTTAGTACTAGAAAAACAGGACTTTTCTTTAAAGCTGATGAGAGGAAGGCAGCCCTGCAGTTCTCGCCTTTGAAAGATCTGATGGTGGGAGGGCTGGCCAGGTCAGTCCTCTGAGCCACAGGCAGAGAAATGCAGGTATAGCAAACAAGGATTGCCCAGGTACCTGATCTGTCTTACAATGCTCTGCAAATTTAGTTGTTCCAAAACAGAAATAGGCATGTGGGAAAGAGACAGGGAAGGACTTTCCTGAAATATACAGAAAGAACCACATCAGGATCCACAGATCCTGAAACCAAGTGTCATCTGTAGCTCGGCTCCACCTCAGGCTCCTGTAGCTCGGCTCCTCCTCCTCTTTGAATCTCCATGTTACCCTTGGTACCCAACAGAAGAGCAAGCCTCTCCTTGCTGGTAGACTGGCTGTGTGCCATGGTCCACCTCCAGTACCGGGTACATGTCGCATTGTCTTCTCCATCCCCAACAACTGACATCTGCAATGACTTTTTTCCCCTAGATTATGTCAGACGAACAGGGGGCAAGATCCTGGTGCACTGTGAAGCGGGGATTTCACGCTCTCCCACCATCTGCATGGCGTATCTCATGAAGATGAAGAAGCTCCGCTTGGAGGAAGCCTTCGATTACATCAAGCAGCGCAGGAGCCTGATCTCCCCAAACTTTGGTTTCATGGGCCAGTTGCTGCAATATGAATCGGAGATCTTGTCTTCCACTCCCAGTCCCCCCATCGCCTCGTGCAAAAGAGAAGCTGCGTCTTTCTTTGCAGAAGAACTGACGATAGGCAAAAACTTTGAAGGCTCATGTTTTGCCTTTCCTACCTCAGTGTTGAGTTCTGTGCCCATCCACTCTCCCGTCCACCAGCTGAAACTCAGCCCGATGACAGCATCTTCGTCCTGCTGCACACCCTGGGGAGACCAGAGCTGGCGTGGTCCTCTGATCTGGACTGACCCCAATAAGAACATTTCATGAATGTGCAATAGAGAGACCTCATTGACTTAGGCTGAGACAGAGCAGTTGTTGTGGGTCATACTTCCCATATGCTGTGACTGTAAGACGCAAGTGCTCTAAGTGTGGCAGGTTTTCTGAACTTTTATTGTCCTCTTTTTAAAAAGTGCTTTTTAAGGTTTTTATCCACAGAGTGTGCACCCACTACTGTATTTCCAGATTCCTGGGGAGCAATGAGAAATCCATTTAATATGTTCTCAGTTCCCATCTCCTTCCCACCTTGTTTTTGAAAAGACCCTTATTTAAAGTTTCAAGCAATAAACAGCAGCAGTGAGGAAGAAAGCAAAACGAAAAGCACCACCTTTGCAATGGCAGAGGTGGTGGGAGTGAATATTCGTTATGGTTTTTCTCTGGCTTTCCTCCTCCCCTCTCTTGTGTCATGTTTCAGGGAGCAAAGGGCTGGGGCGGTGGGAGGGAGCTCCTTTCCCAGGACGCTGTTGCACAACCAGGTGAAAATCCCCTCTCCTGCTCCAGCCTCTGAAGCATCAGGTATTGACCACAGTGTAACTGGATGCCAAACCAGACCGTGGATCCATTCAGGTGTGGCATTTCCTGTACTTCTGCATTTGCCTTTGTACTGGCTGTGCTTTTAGCTAAAGCAGGGGACTTAACCGAAGCTATCAGGCTACCCTGCTGAGCTATTGTCCTCCCATCTGTTATTTAAGAACAGCCCTAGAATACTTGAATGTCTCCACAATCCTCATCCGAGTTACTTTCCATCAGATGACACTGTAACTGCTGGATTTTACACCAAAAAAACCTAACCCTGACAAGCTTGGCTCTAAGCCACCTCTTCCTCCATCCCTCCCAAGTGTTCCTGATGTGCATTATATGTGGTCAAGTGGTCTTGTTCAGTGTTACATGGCTTGCTTAGTGCGTGTCGTCACCTTTTAGCCAGCCTTCTGTGAAAACTGGTCAGATTGGTTTCTGTGTTTGCAGGGAGTTCAGAACGAGGGACTCTCCTTGTCTGCTGACCTTTTTAATTTTTTATATGTAGTATGTATGGGAAATGGCAATAATTTCCAGAAGATTTTGTGAATGTGAAAGAAGACCTGCAATGGTTTTTATGGAGTGTAAAAAATAATAAAGACCAAAAAAACACTGGGAAAAGCAAGCTGCTTTTACTTGGAGTAAGCTGCAAAGTGCTGTGGCAGAGCTTGATGGCAGAAGAGGTCACCTGAGAAAAATGCTGTGGCCCAACATTGGTATAAGGAGGGAGAAGAGGAAGGTAAGCACCCTGGGCTCTGCTGAAAGCCTCCAAGGTGCATCTCTACAGAGGGGAGAAGGTGAGGGGGAGGATTGTTTTAAACAGAATGACATGAGTCATGATGGCGTCACTTCCCAGCGGCCAGGCAGGCACTTCTGTTTTGATTCACACCTCTTTTATATAAAGACTTGCCATCTTGCTGAAGATGAAAATCTGAAGTAGTATGTGGCCCCCACTTCCTTCTCGAGTACACATGACAGGATGCTGCATGGCCTGGGCCCTGGCGTGATGCTCGTGGGTGGCACTTGTCATGGGCCACCCATGAATGTCACACCAAGGACCAGGGCATGTGGTTAATGCTCATCTTTTCACCTTTCTAATGAAAAAAAATAATTTGAAGTGCTAGCATCTCTGAGCCATTTCATACCCTTTTTCAGCTGAAAGTTCTTAGGCTCTTTCTGGCTCACCATTGTAGTACATTTATAATCCGCATTTCCAAGTTACTGAGTTGAAAAAATTGTGGTAGATGTCTGGGTGAGTTACAAAGCATCTGTGCCCTCTGAGGTCCATCCATTTGTAACATCCTCTTCCTGGGAAGCAAATCTCTTGGGTGAGAAGCTGTCATTAGAGATGAGCCTTGGATTTCTCCAGCTGGGGAGGTGAGGTAGGTGATCTAGTAAGAGCAGATCAATTTTCTGAAGGATCTGATTGAGCCCCTTGGGGAACTCTGGAAAGTGCTCTCTGCCTCTCACCCCCCACAAGCACCTGAGCAGAAAGGCTGGTAGGCTTAGTGGGAGGGGTGCATCCTGAGCAGAGAGACCTACAACCTTGCCAGAAACAGAACAGCCAACAGTGCTCATTAAAACAGCATAAAACCCCTTCTGGGGGAATTAACAACTCTGTTTCTCAAGGGTGAGGAAGCTGAAACCCTCTGCAGAGACAACGATATTTGCCATGGGAACCTGCAGAGCATGAGGCAGGGGGCTGAAGGGGTTAACTGGAGGCACTGCTGGCCTTGGCAGATTTGACCACAGCAGCTGGAAAAGATCAGGGGCCAGGCAGAGGAGTCAGGTATTTAGCTGAGGGGGAATGCAATTGCTCTGGTTTTGGAGAGGGGCTCTGATCTTGGGTTTTCGCACAGCGTGTTGGTGGATAGTGTTGGCAGAGGGAGATGCTGGGCTGGGATTCAGCAAGGATGGAGGGCCAGAGCCCCGCGGGAGCCTGAAGAGGGGTGGTGGTTGTGCCTGGGCAGAGGAGCCTGAGGTTTGTGCTCCTGCCCGTGCCACCCGGCACCATTCCCCTCTGCTTGGCTAATCCCATCCCATGGCTGAAGGAAGCCCCAGCATCCAGGGCACAGCGGGAGGTGCGTGCTCCCGTGTTCGTGCTGGTGCTTGCTTTGCTGTTTCAGTGCCAATGCAAGATCTTGGCCCACAGCTCAGTTCTTGCCCTGGCCTGCCTGGCAGATCCCAGCTCTCTGAAGGGACATCACAGACATCCGACCACAGGGCTCTGGGGTGAGAGTTTGTGCTCTCCTCCCTCCCTGCCCACGCTGCTCCCACGGGCAGGGAGGAGCTGAGGACACAGATACCAATGTGTGAAGGTGAGCATGACAAATAAGGATGGCATCTACCTGGGAGATGGGATGTGTGAGTTTGAACCCGCACGGGCAGGGCAGGAACACTGGCTCTCTGCTTCCAGACACCACCAGCACACAACAGCTACCTCCATCCTTTGGGAAAGGAACAGCTCTGATAGAGTTTTGTGGTTTATGTGTTCACCAGATTGTGTAGGATGGAAGATTTAGGGGGCTTTTCTACGCCAGATGTGCTTGGTTTTAGGTAGCGCACTCCTAGGGATGGAAGTGCAGGTCAGGCAGGTGCGTGGGTAATGTCAGAGCTGAAGGATGGGGGCTGACAGGGCTTGGTGGAGGAGTAGGCATCTCAAAAACAAAGTTCTGATGGAAAGTAGAGACCTACATAGCTGTAGGACAAAGGGAAAAGCTATAGCAGAATGCTTTCAGACAGCAGAAAATGCAAGTGAGGGAAAGATGCCAGGAATGCTGTACCCTCAGGCAGAGCTTTGATTACACCTTATCCCTTATGACACCTGAATCCAAAGAAGATGAGAGGAAATGTCACAGTAAAGGGGATTTTGCAGGTTCTGCTGCCCATGGAAGTGCTGGTTCAGGGCTGCCCTGGGACATGAGCATCTGACAGTCCTGATGGTGTACCCTTATGTCCTGGACTTCTTGGTGCCACTCGGGAGCTGTTTCAGATCGTGGTGTGAGACTGAAGAGGGCTTGTTCCACATAGCTTTTGATCCCTTGCTTTTAGGCTTGCAAAGAGCAGTCATGTTGCAAGCATTGAGTGCTGTTGCTCAGCCCCTGTCTCTGCTTTGCACAGGCTGCCTTTCCTTTCTGCCTCCAAGACAAACAAACTCTTCAAAAAACTGTCACAAAAAATTCATGTCTTTTTGTGAAGAGATTGTGAAGAGATCTGGGGTGGGGGTGGATAGGTGGGTGTTGTCCTTAAGTGTTCTTTTGGTCCCTATGTGTTGTTTTGGTCCATACATTTGCTGATGTGATTTGCAGCCTATGCTGGTTACAAAGGCTTCTCAGGCTTCTCCTGCTTCTCTGATTAAAGGACTTTCCAAAAGGCAGAAATTACATCCTGACCAGTAAAACCCAGGTAAAATTCACCGGCTCCATGGGAAGTTTATACTAAGGGTGCTCTTCTTAGCTTCTTGCCTTCTGGTGGTGAGCTGCTTTTTCCAGGAGACAAAGCCTCAATGAACAAGGAGTTCTGCAGGCGTTGTTATTTGTATGCTAAAAACAACACTAGCCTTGCCGGGAAATCAAAGGTCCAAATGTGCCTGTAACACGGCGCAAGTAAGTGAGGCTCCAGGCGTGGTGAATTTGACCCTCCATCTCCACTTTTCATGGCTTCACGCTAATTGGAGAGGAGACACGCTGCCAGCTCACTCTCTGGGAGGAAAAAGGCAGGAACCAATTTGCAGAGCCACATAAATATGGAAGTAGGATTTTTTTTGGCGTGGGAGGTGTTACCAGTACCACACATTACGGTTCCTTGGTTTTATCACATCGTAGGCTTTTACCGAGACATGAGTAAGTTCTTTAAATAAGGAGTATGAAAATAGCTTGTGAAATAGGTTGAGTCATCAGAGAAAATCAAATGAAGTTTTGACACCGGGGCCTCAGTTGTAAAGTCCTACTTTGTTTTATCGTTGCATTATAAACTATGGGGTCACTTCAATCTGTTTATTTCAGCTTCAAAATGCAAAGTACTCTGACATCTAAGTACAGCTTAACAAACGGGTTCATTTTTCCATTAGCAGCACTACTGCATCCTTCCCACCTATGAACACTTGCAGGGAATTTAAAGGTTACCAAGAAAATGGTTTCTGTGGTTATAGTTGAAATGCTCAGCACTTCTTCCAGCCTTGTCTAGTTATTAAAGGGGATTTATGGCACCTAGATATCCCTTTCAAGTACTAGCCTATCCCATGGAAATCACTGGCTGTTATTTGTAGCTCCTGGGAATCCTAGCAGGACCTGTTGTGCTAGGAGCTGCACAGACACCAAACAAGCCCAGAAAGCCAGTAACTCAAGACCAGGAGTGACTGTGGTAGATATAGAATGGGAGAAAGAAGTACAAAGCCCAAAAGCAGCAGCATTGATTTAAGACTCTCATATTTCTGCCAGGGATTTTTTTTGCATACACCAGAATAGGACCCATGC